ACTCTTTCCATGACCCGCTATAGGTTAGAGACTCACAGCTTTACTCAAAACCAGACAGATTCCCTGGGGATTTCAAAAGCAGCACATAGAACAGAGATTTGAACTCAATCTCCTTCTTCCTAGGTTAAAAATCTGTCTTGGACATGATAAGAACATGTTAAGGGCAGGTGGTAGAGGAACAGAACGTCTTATTCTCTTTCCCCCCTCTCCCAGCAGACAGCAACACCATTCTCACCACAGACGTGTTATCAGCTGCTTTGCCTCGGCACACATTTTCCATAATGGTTAAAACACTATGCCTATACACAATTTTATAATATCTCTGTATAACTTGTATTCTACAAGCTTAGTAAAAAGCAACAAAAGGAACTCTTGGGTTTTTGCATCCCTATTTTTCATCCAGCCATCATAAAAACTTTGCAGTATTATATTCCCCTTAAAGTATTTTTGAAAGCTTAAATGTCCTGCTAAATTCACATGATAGCATCAAGTTGCACTGTGATTTAACTACTGCTTTGCTATAATCTCCAACTGGCAATCAGGCATGGATGGTAAGACACCCATTAGCAATACCAAGGTCCACTTCAGAAAGAGTTAAAGAACCAGACCCAGCATTGCCTTGGTCTTCATTCACGTATCAGGTAGTGCAGAAGGCAAAAGCAGTCCCAATTAGAAGACATCACATTCTGACTGAAAGGTGGGAAAAAAAAACCTTTTCCTGAAGTAATATGTGTAGAACTAGAATACGTAACTCTCACTGTCCTGTCCACCATACAGATCTCAACTTTCTCTCTAGGGCTAGCCATACTTTAAAACATTGTCTAAAAGTTTATTCATGCTAACCTTCTCCTTCAGTGACCTGTCCTTTCAGGTCTGCTTGTCTTACTTTAAGACACCAGATGTTTATATACATTGACAAGTCTGTAAAATAAACAGAACCGCAAAATCCTTCAAGCAGCTCTGAAATCCCACCACGTTCTCCTCAGCCACAGCGAATAAATGCCTGCCCCATCCTTCCAATGGCTTTGGCCTTGTAAACTGGTAGGTCTCAGCTCTATCTGAGTTAGGTACAATAGAGTGCATCCAGATGAATTGCATAAACCGTGGGATGTCTCACTAGAGCAATCCCCCCTGTTCTGAATATATTCTTGAACAATCTAGAGGATACAGCTTTCCTCCAGTCACACCTGGATGAGACGCTACAGCCCTACCAGGATTCATTATTTGAACTCTGGAGGACCTTGCCGCTTATTTTGAAATATATTCCTAAACACAACTTTAATCAAAAGCCTATATTAACTTCCTCACTGAACAACAATATTCCCATTTAACAGTAATCATAATCCAACAAGGAAAAGGGAGTTTAATGGTACCCGTTTCTCCTCAGGAGGCAGTTTACTCCATTCATTGCCCAGCATCCTGGTGATCTCTGGGAAAGGAACTTCAGGCCTCTTCGCTCGAAGCTGCTCCCTACGCTCATTCATGAATCGCACATACCCTGTGAGGGGGGATTTGGGGGCATTGGTGTCCCTAAGGGGTTTCTTCCTCTTTCTCCCTTTGGCCCAGCCTCCTCGTTTAGTTCTTTGCTGCTGCAAAATGAAAATGGAAGAAAATTCAGATCGAACGAAAAAGAATTATCACCTCTGGAAGGAATAAATATTCATGTCTCAAACATTTTCATCAGGAGTATGTTGCTGCAATACATCCTCTCCATGGATGTATGTTTTAAACTTAAACTTTAGAGCAATCCTGACTTTTCTCTAAGCAAAGCCAAAGACGGCTCATTGCGAAAAGTTGTTTGCGGTCCTGGTCCACAGGGACAATAAAGTAACATTTGCATCAACTTTTGATTTTAAAACCACGAGGATTGATAACCCATGAAATTACATCCTAGCTAATGCAACTGCAAGTATCTTTTTTTTTATAGTTATTTGTTTGTTTTTAATTTTTTACTCACCCTCACATCCCCCGTCCCCCAGTCATTTGCCTCAATATCATGTTTGGAGAGATTCTGTGTATTAGTTAACAATTGTTAACTCATTATTTTGCTCCTTCCAAATCTTTTGCCTTTGTGCATTATGTACCCAGAATGTGGGTGAAAGCACAGTATATAGGCTTTTCTATTCTAATCTGTTCTATAGACTTTCTTTCCCACTAATCAGGAGATGAGCAAACTCCAAAGGAGGGAACATTGTAAATTTGCCTTGTGGCACACTGTGAGCTCACAGGCATAACATAATTGCCACTCATCCTCTTGGCTTCATAGTAATCTCTGGACAACACTATTTTCTTACGCTATGTACATACAACTGTTTCAGTACTTCTGATCTCTCCCCAGATCAACATGTTCCTGCCATCATGTTAGTTTTGGTTTCCTTTCTGGAATTTTACTGCTTCCTTAATTAAAGAAGGACCTCACAGCTGAAGACAAACTACAAGAAGGAATATCAAATTTATCTATAAAAAAACCAAATCCATTTTCTTGTCAAACTTCAGTTCCTTCATGATTTAGTCACCAAAAATCAGTGTGGGATGGTACACAAGGTATAGTCTAAAGTAGTAAGCATAATGCTTTCAAAGACTTCAGTTACTCCCAGAAGAGTACAATGGTCTCGCTTTCCTGACTCACAAGGGATAAAATAAGTTGTGGCAGTTCAACAGTCAGTCTTCAGAAAAAGACTGAATGCAGTAGCAGTCTGTGGACCCTGCTGCCTAAGCAGAGACACTCATACTGTTCTTTGTGCGTTATGACTGCCAGCTTTCCTTGGCTATCTGAGCGCAGTTGTGCAACACAGGAGAAAACGAGAGAAAAATCAAAAGATGAAAATGGCAAATGGGTGAAAATTTGTGATCCTATCCAAAAAAATCTGAGTAGGTAAGACAAACTATAACAATAAAACTCCATGCTTTTGCTTCATTGAGAAGTCACTATTATTTCATCTCACCTCCTCCTCAGGCTTCTGCTCAGTGTTTTCAGCAGTATTCGAGGACTCATTTTGCAGCGGCTGAACCTGTGACAAATCCTCCACCAAATCTGGGTTATTCACAGACTGTGAAGTTCCACCACCGAATGAACTCTCAGAATGAGCTAATCTGAAAAAGTACATAATAGCAAAAGAAAAAATTTAATCATCATATTGCTAAATCACTTCCTCCCTAATCTTCTAAAACATGCAAAAATTTTGCAAATACATTCAGTTCTTACACTAGCAAGAAAAAAAAAAGGTTTTAAAGAGTAATTTTTGAAGAACTGGCTGTTCCATCCAAGCAACTGTTATAACTACCATAGTTACAACAGACTTTCAAAGACAGTTTGATTTTCAGTGTTACTTTGTTTCATTTTCAGTGAAGCTTTTGATTATACAAACAACTGTCAAGCAAGTAAACGTTTGGATCAGAAAACGGAAAGCCTGAATCTATGTTTCTTCAAAAATACCGTAAGGAATTTAAAATTAATGGTTTCATCTTCACACCCTCCTGGATGCATTTAATATGTTTCTCCAGAAATACACTTAAAGGTTTGTGATTGTGTATGATTTTGGACTGAACTTCATTCAACATAATCTGCTGTTGATACATGTGGATATTTAAAGAAGAAACATGACTAGCTCCCAAAAGGCTCCTGAATGACCACTATTTAATTTTCTGCAAAAGCTGTATCAATCAACCTTACTCCAAGAAAAGGCAAGCTGTCTGGACACAAAACCAAAAAGCAAGCATGCAGAAATATTTCTGAAGGTAGGCAGGCAGAGATGAGCACATTTTCGGGCAACAACCCCACAGTCATTCTCACCACTGCACTCAGTGGGCAAATTAATGCAAGATTTTGGGACTCATCTCAGATTCTAATCCCTTTTTGAGCCAGGCTAAAGATTACTTGGCCTTGCCCAGTTACATTCATGAAAATTACTGTAACAGCAGCATATGCTTCAAGTCTACTTTGTTCATTTACTCAGATCTACAGCTGCTTACATGCATGCCAAATTTTAAATGTTCAAAATAATTGTTCCTGTTAATGTAGGATACAGCTATAGAAACTTGAGATATCTTAACAGAATTGTTGGTTGAATGCTTACAGGAAAATTTGTCTTTAAATAGAACAGCATATTTTCATTACTCACTATAATCAGCAATTGCAGCATAATTACTGGTAAAGACACAAGGGCTGCAGAGATCCATGCCTGAATTTCAGATATCAGATTGAATTCATATTACTAACAATTAGAGAGAGAGAAAGGGAACAAAGCACACACAACTCCTATAAGTTAATTACATTTGGTATGTGTCAAAAAGAAAATGGAACAATGCAGTTTCTTAGAATCACTGTTCTGGTTTGAAGAACATTTCAGCTTTCCTATCTGTTGCCCTCTCAGCAAGAAAGCTTTATAAACTACACATACAGGAAAAACTTCAACGTGATGTAGCCATTTGTAGTCAAAGCTGATGAAAGCTCATTCAACACATTAATACCTCTTAAACACAAATCTAACTTGAACATGTACCTCATTTGGCACCAGCAAGTTTGAAGTCCCAGATATGTAAATCCAAATTCAGACCTGCTTGAAGTAAATGTGTCCATATTAATTTTTACAGGGCTTTACCTGCCTGCAAAGTCTGAATTTTATTGCTTGGTGCTTTACAAAACAGAAAAGAAACTTTAAGT